ACCCCACTGATCAGCAAACACAGCTCAAGGACCGTATGGCCTCCCCCCCCAGCGATGACAGGCTAGACCACATCCCAGGAGAACAATGGAAAAGAACACAAGGTCACGATGAAACTGCACAGAAAACTTCCGAGTGGTGGAGATGGAAAGGCAAGAGAGAGAGAGTCCACCTTCTGTACACGGACCGGGGTCAGCGGGCTGTGCCAGCCAGGCTACCTGACAGCCCAGCCTCCCGGGAGACGGGCGGTCGCTCAGTGTGTATCTGTGCCTCTCCCACACAGAGCCGACAGTGGCATCATTGTACGAGATAAACCAGTAAACTTTTCTTGTTTTGAGTTTGTAGGGCTTTCGGAAAGTTTGAAAGGCTTGGTAATCGGCTTCACAGATCACAAAAGCGATCGGACTATCAGGGGCACGAAGCCATCAGTCCCCTACCTCTGGCAGGCATCTGACGGCTCTACCAGCATCCCCAGCTCCTTCCTGCTGTCGTCGCAGTCACTGCCCTGCGAGTCCTGCCCCATGGAGTTTTCGTTTCCACTGGAGCCACTGCTCATATCCACGTCTTCCTGGAGTGGGGCCTGGCCAGGCGTGGGCTCTGCCAGCTCCTTGGTGGGGCTGCTGGGGCCGGGGGGAAGCTCCACGTACCCGTTCATGGTGGGGTCCAGGATGAAGCTGCAGGCAAGGGGAAGGCTGTCAGACACTGAAAAGAGCACACGCCGGTGACCACCGGAGCAGCAGGCAGGGGAGCCCGTGCCACAGATGAATCCAGGCGTCAGGGTCACCACGGAGGTCGCCCCGCACGTTACTCGCTGGCCCTTATCTACTGAGCTCCTCAGCGACCCGCCACGAAGCCAGAAGAGCGTTCCAGCACGCAGCCTCCCCTGGGCACCAGGCAGCGGGCCTGGCAGGAGGCAGACACAGGCCTCGGCACCCACACCGGGCACATGGGGGTTGTGGAAAGACGCAGAGTTCCGCTGGAGGGCTTGGGTGATGTGCAGGGGCTCAGAGAGCGTAGCAATGACAGCACGGCGAGGCCAAGGGCAGGGATGCGACGGGACAGATGAGGTTGCGGCAGGTGGGGCTCCACAGGCACGGCCCCCCAGGACCTCCAGGGGCACCCCGTCCTTCGGACCCCCACCTACTGCGACCTGCTGAGCCCAGTGGGAAGCTGAAGGCAAATGACCCACCGAATCAGGCTTGGGGGCGGGACCACCAAGGCACCCCTAACCACAGAGGGGAGACCATGGGAGAGGTCAGGCGCCAGCGGAGGGCTGGCAGCGCCAGGCCGAGGCCGACCTTGGACACTCTGCTAAGCGCTGGCTCTCAGGACTCCAGGGAGTCCCATGGCCATCATGGAGGACCACTCTGTGTGGGTGCAAAAGTGTCTGGAACCCACACAGAGCCTTTTCGTTAGCACGGTCTCCAGTGAGTACGCCGAAGGACCCCTACCCCATACCGTGAGCAGGGTGCCGTTCCTGGAGGAGCCCCTGCCAGTGCAGACCTCAGAGCGGCCTGTCCCTGACGATGGGACCCCGCCACCCAGGATCCTTAGCGGGGAGGCATGCGGCCCCTGCCCTGTGCCCTGAGGCGCCGTGGTGGGCTGACGGGCATGGCACTGCCCCCGCGTGGCATCTGCTTGGCCCTGCCAGAGCAGGATGGGAGACAGACTGGTTTCTGGATTCTGGATAAAGCTGTCAACAGTCTCGTTCTCAAGTTCCCATCTGACTGGGAGAGCGTTCCCACCTCTCCTCCCCCCTAAACCCTCATGACAGGGGTCAGAATGTGGGGTGCGGGGGACAGGGTCTGCCGCATCCTTGGAAACCCGGAAGGCCCCAGTCACCTGCCACAAAGTGAAGGGCTCCCAGCCAGCCGGCCTTGGGTGGAAGGAGCGGTGAGGACAGCGTGAAAGCCCGAGTCCTCCCGAGGAGCGGATGTGGTGCGAGGGGACCAGGGCCACGGAGGATGGGGTATACACTCCACGGGACGCACGACAACAGGACACCAGGACACGAGGTCTCTCTGACATGCCTCCCTCGTGGAACACCCCACGGTCCCCTCCCCCACAGGGCAGCAGGGCAAAGGGCCAAACCCCTCCGTCCCAGGGCAACGCTGTGAGGGCTACACGGGCTGAGCCTCCGGGAGCAGGACCCAGGCAGCCAGATGGGAGCCCAGCATAGTCCCTCAGCCATGGCCTCTCAGGGTCTAGCCACTGGGAGAGGCCTTCTTGGGGCACCTGCGGAGGGGGACGGGCCTCCGGGAGAAGCCACCCACATCACTGTTTAGAAACCGATTCACGAGAAACACAGACAAAAGCCGGCTTGGAGAAGGTGTGTCGCGTGGACAGCCATCAAGGCCTGAGGGGGAGCCCTGCCCCGACAGCACCTATTCTCCCTCCCAGCGGCAACCTCCGGAGAAGACAGGGCCGAGGAGCTGGTGATGGAGGCCGAGACACAAGGCTGAGATGAGGCGGCCACACTGAGGCAGGACATCAGAAAGCGGAAGCTGAGTGGCTGTGATAAAGGAAAAGCCCTCCATGATGGGCAGGGAGTGCAGGGGAAACTTGCTTAAGATGCAAAGGAGGGACCAGCATGACCCAGGAGGAGAGAAGGCACGTGGAGGAAAGCCACACTCTTACCTGTGGATAAAAACTCTCCTGGGGGCCAGCAGGGGGCGTGGAGGTTAAGGCGCTGGATCCCATATGGCCAACTGCATGGTTCGAGTCCTGGACCAGATGGCTTAAAAGTCAGGGCCAGCAGGTGGTATGGAGGTAAAGGTGCTGAATTCCCACGTGGCCAACCACAGTTTGAGTCCCAGACATGGCAACTTGAAAATCGTGCTGAGGGGAACCAGCAGTTAGTGTAATGGCTATGTTGCTGGACTCCCACGTAGTCGACCGCGGTTCGCGTCCCGGACCCGGTGGCTTAAAACTCACGTCGGGCGCGTGTGAGTGCGTGCCCAAGATCCCGAGAGGAAAATGGAGGAGAAGGGATTGTGGCGTGGCCATCCCCCCTGGGGGGTGATTTCTCATTTTCTGTCTCTATGTCTCTCTCTCTCTCTCTGTCTGGCGAGCGCACGTGCCCTGTAGTGAAAGCCTCTCCAAAAAAGAAAAGAAAAGAAAAGAAAATCGTGCTGAGCGCATGTATGTGTATGCCAAAAAGCCTGAGAGGTGAGACCAGCAGATGGCATAATAGTTACATGGCTGCACTCCCACATAGTCGACTGCGATTTGAGTCCTGGACTCAGCAGCTTAAAACTCATGCCAGACACATGTGCGTGCGTGCCCAAGATCCCAAGAGAGCGGAGGAGAAGGAACTGCAGTGTGGCTATCCCCTCGGGGGCCAGGTGATTTCTCACTGTCTGTCTCTCTCTGCCTGTCCAGCGAGCGAACGTGCCCTATAGCAAAAAATCTCTCTCAAAAAAAAAAAAAAAATCCCAAGAGGAGAAAGGAGGAGAAGGGACAGCTGTATGGCCATGCCCTCTGCAGGATTTTTCACTTTCCTCTCTCTGTCTCTCTCTGATGAGCTCACACAGCCCATGGCAAAAATCTAAAAAAAAAGAGAAAAGAAAAGAAAATCATGCCAGGCGCACGTGCGTATATGCCCAAAATCCTGAGAGGAGGCTGGAGAAGGGACTGTGGCATGGCCATCCTCCTGGGGGTGATTTCTCATCTTACGTCTCTCGGTGTATCTCTTTCTGGCAGGCACATGTACCCTAAACACACCCTACAGCAAAAACTATATATATATCTATATATCTTTCTGAAAAAGGTATCAGTACAATGCAACAAAAACCACAAGGAAAGACCCATAAATAAACTGTCCTAACTCAACACAGATTTGTACGTGGCTGTCAATCGCAGGGCACCCTAAGCTCCAGGCAGAATTACATGGAAGGCATCCTTCTAGCTACATCCTGATAAAATGTATACATGCATACTTATTGCCACAGGGCCTGTGTGCTCACCAGAGAGGGACAGAGGGAGGGAGGGAGAACAAGCTCCCCTCAGTGGGGGACTGTCATGCCGCAATCCTTTTTCCTCCATTTCTCTATCCTCTCAGGGTTTGGGGCCTACACACACGCGCGCGTCCGGAGTGTTTTTCAAGCCACCAGGCTGGGACTTGAACCATGGTTGGCCATGTGGATTCTTGCTCCCTTAACCATTATGCTATGGGACTAACTTGAAAGTTTCAAGGAGAAAGAAAATCCTACGCGCATTCAAACACATACACAAGAATAATACACAAGTTTCTCTCAAAGAATGAAAAGTCATTTAGTCTGAGATATCTGCTGCATATAAAATTTACAAAAACTAATGCCTACACACAGCCACTCCGACCTTTCAACATTTCATGGATGCTCTTGCTCACTTGATGAAGCCGGAGAGGCAGTGACCTTTGGAAGCGGAGAAGCTGAGGCTGTTCTGCAGAGAAAAGCCGGTCCTCTGAACTGCTGGGAAGGCACTCAACTCCCATCAGGAAAACGCGGAAATCCTTCGCCCTGGCCGTTACCGAGGAGGTGGGGACCGGGGGCTCTTGTGCATGGAGGCAGTGGCGTTAGAAAGTCTTCCTGGAGGGAAATTTGGGTGCCTTGTGGCATCTGAGATCTGCCTCCCTTCCCCCCTTCCCCTCAGAGGACTACACCCCGGGAGTGCTCACACGTATGCCCAGAGGGTGAGCCAGCACCGAGTAACAAGGCCTGGCGGCCCCTTCAGCAAGGAACTATTCTACCTCCCCTCTCCAGGGCACCCTGTCCAGTTCCCTCCTGGGCTCCTGCCTCTACCTGGCCATGCTGGTCAGGACTACAGGGCAGCAAGAGAGAAGCTGGTGAAAGTCCGTGCCCGTCAGGCCAGGGCTAGCCTGCAGGGGGGCTGCCAGCTGAGGTCCAGCCGCAGCTCCTAGGCCTCTCCTGTGTCTGCCCAGCTCCGTGAGTGCCAGCCTCAGGGCTCTGCCCTCAGTGCCCCTGGGTGCCCGCCACGCTCCTCCTGCAGGCGCCCCGCACCCCCCTCCAGCTTCTCAGCCCCTGCTCTGCTCTCTTTCCTCCACATCACTGCATCTCCCCAGAACACGAGCCCAGGAGGCCAGGAGCTCAGACTGCTCACTGTAGGACCCTAGGCCTGGCACACACTGCCGAGGGCACAGAGCTGAGGACACCTGCACCAGGATGCCATCACCCATGAAGAGGCAGACCAGACAGGCTGGCATGGAGGAGTCCAGAACATCAGATGACAAGGCACAGAATGAGAAACAGCCACAGGGAAGGATGGGAGAGGCCGACAGGGTGTCCTGCTCGCCAGCCCGCTCTCCCAGTGCTCAGTGCGCCTGCGGTACACAGGACAGACATCCCTCCTGCCCTCCTGGACCGACCTCATGGGGACTGACAGCAGGAGCTGGGTATGGGGGTACCACAAGGACTGCTAAGGAGAAGCCACCAGAGCAGTGACTGCTTGTGGGCAGCAGCGCGGAGCCTGAGGGAGGCAGCCAGAGGCGGCTAGGTGTGGCTAGCTCAGACGGCCTCCCGGCATGCCGCCCAGAGCCCTGCCTCTCTATCTCCCAGGCTCGCAGCCACCTGCTCGTCTCCAACCCCTGCCCCACTCCAGTGGGGCCTCCTGGCCTCTCCGGAGGCCGCTCCAGGCGTCCGCTCTGTCTACAGTATGGCTGGGGAGGGGCCCCGCCCAGGGGAGGGGGCCA